TTTCATCATTATATAGTGTTCTTTTTCTTTATGGCCTTTGTTTTAAAGTCCATTTTGCCTGATATGAGTAGTGCTACCCCTGCTTTCTTGTCATTTCTGTTTGCATGAGTTATCTTTTTCCATCCCCTCACTTTCAGTCTGTGTCCTTCACTCTTAAGTGGGTCTCTTGTAGACAGCATATGGTAGGCTCTTGTTTTTTAATCCAATCTGCCACTCTGTATTTTTTGATTGCAGCATTTAGTCCATTGACATTTAAGGTAATTATTGAGAGATATGTATTTATTGCCATTTTTAACCTTGTTTTCCAGTTGATTTTGTATTTTTTCTTTGTTCCTTTCTTTTTCCTTTTGTGGTTTGGCGATTTTCTTTTGTATTATGCTTGTTCTCTTCTTTTTGGTTTTTGTGAATCTGTTGTATGTTTTTTGATTTGTGGTAACCCATATGGTTTTCAAATGTTAACCCATTACTATATCTACTTGCTTTAGACTGATAGTCATATAGGCTCGAACACATTCTAAAATTTAAAAATCTACATTTTTTTACTCTCCTACCTGGCATTTTATGATTTTGATACCCTCTTTTACATCTTCATGTTTATCCTTTTTCTGTTCATTTTGCTTATCATCCCTTTCACAAAAATGTTTGTTTTTTACTTTAATCTGTATACTGGCTTAAGTGATTTACTTTCCATTTTTGATTTTCTCTTTTATACAGATTACTGCTTCTTTTCTATTTAGAGAAGGCCTTTAATTATTTCTTTTAGTATAGGTTTAGTATTGCTGTTATTCTTTTAGTTTTTGCTCTTCTGAGAAATTCTGTCTCTCTCCTTCTATTCCAAATGATAATCTTGCTGAGTAGAGTATCCTAGGTTGCATATTTTTTCCTTTCAGAGCTTTGACTATATCTTGCCACTCCCTTCTGTCCTGCAATGTTTTCTATAGGAAAATCAGGTAATAGCCTTATGGTGGTTCCCTTGTAATTAACCCTTTTTACTCCCTCCTGGCCTGCAACATTTTCTATAGGGAAATCAGGTAATAGCCTTATGTGGGTTCCCTTGTAATTAATCCTTTTTCTCTTGGTGCCTTTAGAATCCTCTCTTTATCTTTAACTTTTGCCACTTTAATCATAATATGTCTTGGTGTAGGTCTGCTTGGGTTCATCTTGTTTGGGACCCTTTGTGCTTCCTGTGCCTAGATATCTGTTTCCTTCTTTAGGTTTGGGAAGTTTTCAGCCATAATTTCTTCAAATACATTTTCAATCCCCTTGTCTCTTTCTTCCCCTTCTGAAATTCCTATTATGCATAGATTGGCACGCTTTATATTTAAGATTTTTAAAACTTTTATTGTGGACATATAATAATATAATGAATCCCCCTCTGTGGACCATCATTCAGCTTCAAAAATTGCCAACTATTGGCTAATTTTGTTTCATCAATGCCCTCATGTACTCACCCTGCCCGTATTATTATTTTTTAGCTAATAGACTTTTTTTTTTTTTAGAGAAGTTTTAGGTTCACAAAAAATTAAGCAGATAATGTGCAGCATCCCCACCTCTCCCTCTTCACCCAGTTTCTCCCATTATTAACATCTTGCAGTAGTGTGGTACATTTGTTACAATTGATGAACCAATACTGAGACATTATTATTAACCAAAGTCTATAGCTTATATTACAGTTCACTCTTTGTGTTGTACAGTTCTATGAGCATAAGTTGTTTTTTCCACAGTTTATAGAGTCGATTATCCCTAAGACCATAAATGTCTGGACTAAATCTAAACTGCCTTCTAAATCTTTAGTCCAGGAACCAGTGAAGTGATAAAAAAAAAGCCCTTGGAACTAATTGAAAATTGTAAAGTTGAGAAGACAGCAGACCATACTAAAAATCACCACTCTTGGTACATAAAAGCAACCGTAGTGCAAGTCATCTTTGCCCAAAGTGTGGGTGGGGCTGTGGGCTGGGGAGGAGCCTGTATCCTGCCCTGGCCCTTGTGGGCCTGGAGGAGACAGAACCCACTCTTCAAGGAACAGTAACTTTAATTGAAGCAACATTGTGGAGGCAGCAGGAGCAGGAAGGAGAGTGTAGAACTTTCCACAAGCATGACTGGAGTCAGAACATCCGAGGTCCTTGCGGCAGGGAAGAGAAGCCTTTGAGTCAAGTACTGCAGCTCAGTGCTTTGGCCTGGGTGCTATATATGTCACTTCTGCTCAGACTTCTTTAGCTGCAAGGAGGCATGTGGCTGTGCCCGGCTTCACGGGAGTGCGGAAGTATCACCTACCTTAACGGCAGTGTCCATGTACTCCAGTTGCTGGGGCCTCCATGGACTGTGACCCGTGGAGACTGCTACTGCCGTTAAGTCCCAGAGGTGGGGATGGGGGAGAGGTTCGGGGCTGCTTCAAGGCCTGGGTCCCACCAGTGGGTGGCCCTGGCGAGGGCTCTGGAGCTCTGCAGGACACAGCCCTCAGCCTGTCCCTGAGCCCCCAGCTCACCCCCCAGCCTGAGGCCAGAGGGCCTGGAGGGCCCCAGGGAGAAGGCTGCGATCCTCTTCTCACTGCACTGTCTGCAGCGAGGACCACTGCCAGGCTGATTGTTGGCAGAGCGGGACCTCTAACCACTGGCAAGCTTTATATTATCCCATAGATCTTTTATATTGCTTCCATTTTTTTCATTTCTTTTATATTGGCTTTCTGTCTGCTGTTCTGATTGGGTGATTTACATTATTTTTTCTTTCAGAACACATTCATTCTGCATTATTCAGTCTGCTATTTATTGCCTTTAGCTCAGCTTTCATCTGGGCAACTGAGTTTTCTAATTTTTCTTGGCTCCTCTGTATAGTTTCTAGTTCCTTTTTACAGTAATATGTATTTCAATTATAGCCTTTCTTAATTCCTTCAGTATTTTCACTATCTTCTTTTTGAAATAAATCAGTATCTATTAGATGAAGATGTCTATTTCACTGTTTGTTCTTTCAGGGCAATTCCCTTGATCTTTTAATTGGGAGTGGTTGTTCTGCTTCTTCATTTTACTTATATTTCTCTTACTCTATGAGTTTAGGAGAAACAGTTAACTACTGTGGTCTTGGAGGGCTATTTTTATATGGGAGTATCCATGTGTAGCCTGCATGGGTTTAATATATTTGGTGGGAGGGCTGTTTTCAGTATGGCTGCCTCTTTCCTCAGTGTGTGCTGGCCGTTATCACCTTTAAAAGGGGGTGTGACTGGTGTCGTGGTGACCCGAGCCTGAACTGAATGTTGAGCGGAGCCTCCTCTTTGCTCTGTGGTTGTCACAGCTCTGCTGGCAGCAGCGTCTACTCCCTAGTTGTTGGAGTAGAAATCCTCAGATCTGTTTCTGATGTGCGGTGTGAGACAGGTGGAATTGGAGCACTCCCACTGAGAGAGGAGCCACTGAGTGTTCCTCTACCAGAGCTATCCACTGTGAAGTGCGCTCCATGGTGTCACCTGAAACCCACTGTGCAAGCTCACAAAGTGTACTGTTGGTGGCATGCCCTTGGCCCCACCTCAACTTTGGGAATGCAGGCAGTAGTCCCTGGTGTCCCTCAGGCCCTGTTTACAAAGCCACCAGCGCAAATCAACCAGTGCAGATCCACTGAAGTCAGGTACCACGACTGCAGTAGTTGCACACCTGGACCCTCCATGGGAGCTATGGAAGCAACCCAGACCCTGCCCCAGCCTGCATGTGCATGCGCCCACAGAGCCCACAGATGCTAAGGCCAGACCCATCAGAGCTGCAGGAGCACCCATTGTCCATTCAGATATCATGAAGTCGCTGAGTTTTTACAAAGCCAGTGGCCGTGGCATAAATCTGCAGATCACACAGTCGTGGGGAGATGGCTTAGATTTCAGCCCTGCTTCCTAAGTTGTGTGACCCCTGGTAATCAACTTGGATTTCAGCCCCGCCTCCACTTGTGGGCAACCCCATGGCACTTGCGTGCTCCCAGAGCTTGTGGAGGTGGTCCCAAGCCAGCTGAGAGTGTGCAGAGAAAGAGGCTGCTATGGCGGCCCCGCCCCTCCCTTCACTCACATGCACATTAACAGTGGGGTTTCAGCGGCAGCTCCACTCCCTCTGTGAGCATGCCAAGTGTGAGGCTGCTAATGGCAGGCACCGCCCCTCCCTTCTCACACCCCCTTAACAATGACACTTTGCTTCTATGGCGGGCCCAGGCTTCTTCCATGTATACCTACCAGTTGTCGCTGTACCACACTCCAGCCCCTTCCTGCTGTCTCCACACAGCCAACCCCAGTCCTCCCCTTGGATCTGTCCTCTAAAGCTGGAGTATCAGCACCCAGCCCTCGTGTGCACCAGCCAATGTGCATCTCAGGCTGGGGAGTGCAGGGCAGTGGCCCAGACCATCTGTTCTGGCCTCTCTGTGCAAACTGGCTGCTGCTGTCTCCTCTGAGCCTCTGAAGCTCCCTTTCTGTCCCACCTGAGGGGGCTTCCAAGGTATGGGAACCTTTTCCTCTTTCATGACTCCCTCCCAGGGACACAGGTCCCATCCTGCTTCCCTTCTTTTTCTTTCATCCTACCCGATTACATGGAGATCTTTCTTGCACTTTTAGGTTCTGAGATCTGCCAGGTTCAGTAGGTATTCTGTGAGAATTGTTCCACAGAGATGTATTTGTCATGTATTTGTGGGTGGAGGTGACCTCCATGTCCTTCTATTCTGCCACCTTGATTGGAGCCTCCAGTATGTGGTTTTTTTGAGAGTATATTAGATCATAAACAGAACTAGCTATATAAACACTGAGAACAAAGCTTTCGTGAAAAATAAGATTTTGTAATTTGCCTCTTGCACGTGAATTTAAAGTTCTAAATTTTAAAACTGTGTGCAAATTTTAAAAACATTTTATTACAACCATAAAAAATGTCAGAGGCATGGAATTTTGAGCTGGTGAGACCTTGGTGTATCCAGTCTGCTTTCATGCTATTAATATTTGTAAGACTAATGAATGTTGAAAACAATATAAACTTTCATATTATTTTTAGGGACAAGACATAGATCTTTCTCATAGCACTGAATCTCAAACAGTGAAGAAGTTTGATGCTTCCATTTCATTTCCACCAGTAAATTTAGAAATTATAAAGAAGCAACTAAATACTAGGTAAGTAATATTAATTTTAAAATTTACATTTGTGATAGACATTTAATAGTGAAAAAAATTAGCACTATAATCTTTTTAACTATTAAATATTAGTATTAAACAGATTTATAGGAAAAAATTAGCATCACCTGTATTAGCACATTAATATAACTGATTTCCTTTTTTATATGTCTTTTAGTGTTTATAATATATATCGTATAGTTACAATCAATAAAATCAAGTTCTTATTTTTTCACTTACTATTTTTGTTAGCACTTATCTGCATTGTTAAATAGCCTTTAATTTTTAAAAATAATATGCCGGGAGTGATGGCAGCAAGATGCCAGAATAAGAAGCCCTAGACCTCGTTGCCTCACAGAGATACCAACTTAACAACAACATACTGTCCAAAAAGCCTTTATGAGTACTCCAGAAATCAGGAAGTTGTAGTACCCCAGGCAAGCTCAAAGCCCAAAATAGCCACATTGTAATGGGTAAGAAAAACCATTTCATTCCAACTGCATCTAGCCCCTCTCACAAGCCAGCACTGCTTTTGATGGAGAGAAAAAACCCAAGTCATAGTTTTTCCATTGGGAAGGAGAAAGAAGAGTGGAACACTGTCTTTTGGAGGTACTGCCCAAGGGACTTGTTTCTGTCTTGTCTGTCTCAGAGCACTGATGGGGAACCATCATACGTTAGATGCCTGAGGGCCACAGAGGACAAGAAAGAGCTAAGCAGCCTGTTGCAGAGCCGGAAAGTCTGCAGTACTACAAATACCAGAGGGAACAAGAGACTACAGAATCCTGAAAAAGAAACCCACAAATCTCTATAATTAGGAAATTTCGTATAGAAGCCCAGAGAAGGTACATCCCCCAGGAAAGGTTTGAGAAGACACTCTTCCCCACACACCACCACTGGGAATCTCCAGTCAGGCTGATTGAAATGCACTTAAGGGAAACAGCTGCATATGGGGGAGAAACTCCCCTTAAGTGCATTTTCAAATACACAAAACACAACAAAAAGATAACCAGATACATGAAGAAACAAGGAAACATGGCCCAATCAAAGGGCCAAAATTAATTCCAGAACTAAAAGAAACAGAGGTCTATGAATTACCTGACAGAGAATTCAGAATAATCTTCTTAAAGAAGCTTAATGTCTTCTTAAAGAAGCTTAATGTGCCATAAGAAATCACAGACAACTAAAGAAATCAGGGAAATGATACATGAACAAGGTTGGAATACCAACAGAGATGGAAACTAAGAAAGAACCAGAGGTTCTAGAGCTGAAAGTGTAATAACTGAACTAAAAACTTTACTGAAGGGGGCTTCCCTGGTGGCACAGTGGTGAGAGTCCACCTGCCGATGCAGGGGACACGAGATCGTGCCCCGGTCCGGGAATATCCCACATGCCACAGAGCGTCTGGGCCCATGAGCCATGGCCGCTGAGCCTGCGCGTCCGGAGCCTGTGCTCCGCAATGGGAGAGGCCACAACAGTGAGAGGCCCATGTACCAAAAAAAAAAAAAAAAAAGAAATTTACTGAAGGTAGCAGACTATATCAAGCAGAAGAAACAAATGAGACCTCAAAGAGTGATCATTTGAAATTACCAAGTCAGAGTAACAAAAAGAAAAAAGAAAAGTGAAGAAAGCCTAAGGGATTTATATGATGCTATCAAGCAGAACAACATATACATTATGGGAATCCAAGAAGGAAAAGAGTAGTAGAATGGGACAGAGAACTTATCTGAAGATATAATGGCCAAAGACTTACCAGCCTGAGGAAGGAAATGGGCATTCAAATTCAAAAAGTTAAAAGGACTCCAACAAGGATGAACACAAGGAGGCTTACACTGAGACGATTATAATCAAACTTTCTAGATACAAAGAATTTAAAAAGCCGCAAGACAAAAGCACCTCATCATGTACAAGAGGGCCCCATAAGATTAACAGGAGACTTCTCAACAGAAACATTACAGGGGCCAGAAGGGAGTAGGATGAAACATTACAGGGGCCAGAAGGGAGTAGGATGAAGGAGAAATAAAAAACTCAGGTAAACAAAGCTGAGGGAGTTCGTCACACTAGACCTGCCTTAACAAAAATTGCTGAAAGATATCCTTCAAGTTGAAATGAAAGGACACTAGACAGTAGCATGAACCATACAAAAATACAAAGTTCTCTGGTAAAGGTAAATATATATATAAATATAGAATCCTGTAATACTGTAAGAGTGGTGTAAAAACCACTTTTAATATAGAATTTTAAAGGTAAAAGCACAAAAATAACACGTTAGTGGATACAAAATTTTTAAGTGTAATTTGTGATATCAATAACAAGAGGTGGAGGGGGAGATATAAAGAAGTAGAGTTTTTGTATGTGATTGAAGTTAAGATGGTGTCAGTTTAAAATAGATTACTAGAATTATAAGATTTTTTTTGTAATCCCCATGTAAACATAAAGAAAATACCTATAGAAGATATGCAGAGGAAAATGAAAACGGCCTAGAGCACATCACTCCAAAAAAATCAACAAAACGCAAGGCAGCAACAAAGTGAGAGAGTGGCGTGGACATATATACACTACCAAACGTAAAATAGTTAGCTAGTGGGAAGCAGCCGCATAGCACAGGGAGATCAGCTCGGTGGTTTGTGACCACCTAGAGGGGTGGGATAGGGAGGGCGGAGGGGAGGGAGACACAAGAGGGAAGAGATATGGGAACATATGTATATGTATAACTGATTCACTTTGTTATAAAGCAGAAACTAACACACCATTGTAAAGCAATTATACTCCAATAAAGATGTTAAAAAAAAGAGAGAGGGACAAAATAACTACAAGACAGACAAAAAACAATTTAAAAATAACAGTGGTAAGTCCTTCCATATCAGTAATTACTTCAGATGTGAATGGATTATATTCTATAATCAAAAGACATATAGTGGCTGAATAGGTTGGGAAAAATAAAAGAAGCAAGATCTGGGAATTCCCTGGTGGTCCAGTGGTTAGGATTCTGTGCTTTCACTGCCTAGCACCTGGGTTTGATCCCTGGTCAGGGAACTAAGGTCCCACAAGCTGCACAGCCAAAAAATTTTAAAAAGCAAGAGCCAACTATATACTATCTGCAAGAGGCTCACTTAGGTTTAAGGATGCATATAGGATGAAAGTGATAGGATTGCAAAAAGATTCCATGAAAACAGTAAACAAAAGAGAGCAGGAGTGGCATTACTTAGAGAAAAGAATTTTAAGTTTAAAACTACAAGAGATAAGGATATTATGTAATATAAAAGGGTCAATTTGTTGGGACAATATAGCAACTATTTATATATATATATGTACGCAACAGTAGAGCACCTAACTGTATAAAGCAAATATTGACAGAGCTGAAGGGAGAAATAGCAATATAATAATAGTATGAGACCTCAATACCACACTTTCAAATAATTGATGAAATAGACAGAGAATCTTAAGGAAACAGTGATCTTGAACAAAGCTAAATGAACCTAACAAATATATGGAATGTTCCACCCAACAGCAGCAGAATAGACTTTCTTTTCAATCACACAGACCATACTCTGCAGGATAGATCCCACATTAGGTCACAAACAAGTCTTAACAGATTTAAGGTTGAAATCATACCTTTTCCAAGCACAGTGCAGTGAGACTAGAAATCGGTTAACAGAAAGGGAAAGGGAAAATTCACAAATGTGTGGAAACTAAACACGCTCTTGAACAGCCAATGTACCAAAGAAGAAATCAAAATGGAAACTATAAAGTATCTTGAGGCAAACGAAAACAAAAACAGCAAAAGTTATGGGATGCAGCAAAAGCAGTACTAAGAGGGAAGTTTATAGCAATGAACACATTAAAAAAGAAGAAAGATATCAAATCAACAACCTAACTGTACCTCAAAAAACTTCAAAAAGAACAAACTGAGCCCAGTTATCAGAAGGAAGGAAATAGTAAAGATTAGAGCAGAAATAAACATAATAGAGCATAGAAAAACAACTGAAGAAAAATCAAAACTGAATTTTTTTTTTAAGATCAAAAAAATTTGACAAACCCTTAGCCAGGCTAAGTGAAAAAGAGAATAGCTTCAAATAACAAAAATAAGAAAGAGAAACGTTACAGCTAATGCCACAGAAACAAAAAGGATCATAAGATACTATAAACAATTATACACCAACAAACTAGATAACCAAGAAGAATGGATCAATTTCAAGAAACATACAACCTACCAAGACTGATTTATAAAGAGATGAAAAATTTGAACAAATCTGTTACTAGTAAGGAGATTGAATTAGTAGTCAAAAACCTACCAACAAAGAAAAGCCCAGGACAGATAACCTCACTGGATAATTCTACCAAACATTTTAAGATAAATTAACACCATTCCTTCTCAAACCCTTCCAAAAAACTGAAGAGGTGATAACATTCCCAAACTCATTCTATGAGGTCAGCATTACCCTGATCCCAAAATCTGAGACAAAGATAGTACAAGAAAAGAAAGTTAATAAGCCAATATCCCTGATGAATATTGATGTAAAAACCCGCAATAAAATACTAGCAAATGTAATTAACAATACATTAAGAGGATTACACACATGACCAAGTGGGATTTATTCCTGGAATACAAGAATGAGTCATAAGAAAATCAGTGTGGTATACTACATTAACAGAATGAAGGGCAAAAACCACATGATCATCTCAATTGATACAGAAGACACCTTTGACAAAATTAAGCACACTTTCATGATAAAAACCCTCACCCAACTAGGAATAGGAAGAAATTACTTGAACATAATAAAGACCATATATGAGTAGTCCACAGCTAACATCATATTCAGTGCTGGAAAACCAAAAGCTTTCCCTGTAAGTTCAGGAACAAGGCAAGGATGCCTATTCTTTTTTTTTTTTTTTTTTTTTTGTGGTACGCAGGCCTCTCACTGTTGTGGCCTCTCCCATTGTGGAGCACAGGCTCCGGACGCGCAGGCTCAGCGGCTATGGCTCACGGGCCCAGCCACTGCGCGGCATGTGGGATCCTCCCGGACCGGGGCACGAACCCATGTCCCCTGCATCGGCAGGTGGACTCTCAACCACTGCACCACCAGGGAAGCCCAGGATGCCTATTCTTGTGCCTTCTATTCAAAGTATTGGGAGTCCTAGCCAGAGAATTCACGCAAGAAAAATAAATTGATAAATAAATAAATAAAAGACATCCAAATAGGAAAGGAAGAAGTAAAATTATCTCTGTTCACAGATGATATGATCTCTTATGTAGGAAAGCCTGAAGACTATGCTTACACACACACACACACACACACACACACCCTGTTAGAGCTAATAAATCTGGCAAATTGCAGAATGAAATATCAACACACAAAAATCTGTTGTTTCTATGCACTAACAATGAAAAGTCCAAAACTATATATTTAGAAAACACTAATTTACAATAGAATTAAAAAGAATAAAATTTAGGAATTAGTCAAGGAGGCAAAAGATTTGTACATCAAAAATTACAAAAGATTGCTGAAAGAAATTGAAGACATAAGTAAATGGAAAGACATCCCATGTTCATGGATTAGAAAACAATACTGTTAAAATGTCCGTATTGGGCTTCCCTGGTGGTGCAGTGGTTGAGAGTGTCTGCCTGCTGATGCAGGGGACACGGGTTCATGCCCCGGTCCGGGAAGATCCCACATGCCACGGAGTGGCTGGGCCCGTGAGCCATGACCGCTGAGCCTGTGCGTCTGGAGCCTGTGCTCTGCAACAGGAGAGGCCACAACAGCCAGAGGCCTGCATACAGCAAAAAAAAAAAAATGTCAATATTACCCAAAGCAATCTATAGATGCAGTGCATTCTCTATCAAAATCCCAATGACATTTTTTGCAGAGATAGAAGAAATCCTGAAATTCATAGGGAATCTCAAAGGACCCAAGAAAGAAAATGCACAGGCAACAAAAGCAAAAATAGACAAGTGGGACTACATCAAACTAAAATGTTTCTGCCTAACAAAGGAAATAATCAACAGAGTGAAAAGGCAACCAACAGAATAGGAGAAAATATTTGTAAACCATATATAAGATAAGTGGTTAATACCCAAAATATATAAGTAGCTCATGTAACTGAACAACGGACTATCCAACTGAAAAATGGGTAAAGGACTGGAATAGACCTTTCTCAAAGAAGACATACAAGTGGTGAACAAACCTGAAAAGATGCTCAACATCACTAATCAGGGAATTAACAAATCATAACCACACTGAGCTATCACCTCATACCCATTAAGGTGGCCACTATGAAAAATACAGAAATTGACTAGTATTGTCAAAGATATAGAGAAAAGGGAACTCTTATACACTGTTGGTGGGAATGTAAAATGGTCAGCTGCTATGGAGAACAATTTCTGAAAAAGTTAAAAATAGAATTACCATATGATCCAGCAATCCAACTTTTGGATATATAGCCAAAAGAATTCAAAAGAAAACAGTTCAAGAGATATTTGCACATTACAGCCTTATTTACAATAGCTTGGAGGTAGAAGCAACTTAAATGTCCATCAGCAGATGAATGGGTAAAGAAAATGTGGTATTTACACGCAGTGGAGTATTTATTATCAGTGGTAAAAAAAAAAGAAATCCTGTCATGCCACAACATGGATGAACCTTGTGGACTAAGTGAAATAAACCAGTTACAAAAAGATAAATACTGCATGATTCTACTTATATGAGGTATCTAAAGTAGTCATACTCTTAGGAACTGAAAGTAGAATGGTGGTTGCCAACGGTGGGGGGAGATGGGGAGTTGTTGATCAGTGGGTATAGAATTTCAGTTCTGCAAGATGAAAAAGTTCTAAAGATCTGTTATACAACAATGTGCATATCGTTAATACTACTGTAATATATACTTTAATGGTTAAGTGTAAATTTTGTTATGTTTTTGACTACAATAAAAAATAAGTATATTAGTAATATTTTGTTCATCGATACAGTTAGTATATCATGATTTATTTAAGTATTTCTGTGTTGGACATTGACATTTTGATTTCTAAATGTGTCTTATAAATAATGCTACAGATGTTCATTATGAACGTTTTGTTCCTATAAGTCACTTAAACTGTTATTTTCTTTTTTTTTTATAAATTTATTTATTTACTTTTGTCTGTGTTGGGTCTTCATTGTGGTGCACGGGCTTCTCATTGTAGTGGCTTCTCTTGTTGCGGAGCACAGACTCTAGGCGCATAGGCTCAGTAGTTGTGGCTCACGGGCTCCAGAGTGCAGGCTCAATAGTTCTGGTGCACAGGCTTAGTTGCTCCGCGGTATGTGGGATCTTCCCTAACCAGGGCTCAAACCCATGGCCCCTGCATTGACAGGCGATTCTTAACCACTGTGCCACCAGGGAAGTCCCAAAATGGTTATATTATTTCTTAAGATAAGTTTCCAGGGAAAGTTAACTGCAGCAAAAGTTAGGCATATTTTTATGGTTCTTGATACAAATACATTTCTAAAGCACAGCTAACCAACCATTCATTATCTATTGCTATTAATAGTTATCTCTTAAATAGTATTAATCTCACGTTTATAAATGGTATTTTTTGTCAAAAATAAGGCAAACCCCGTAATAGGTTGTTTTGTTTTAAATATTTATATATTTTCTGTTTTACTACTTAGGATCTAGCGTGCATCTTTAGATATATGAAAGAATAAGTATGACAGTAAAAGTCTAATTAGTCCTTACAACATTTAATACAAGGAGAGAGCTTGGTTCTCCTGCCACCAAAGCAAGTATTCTTAAAGAACATTTTCATTGCTTTTTTTTTTTTATACCTGGGAATTTTTTTCTAATACCTTGGAATAGGTTCAGAATTTTCTCCCCCTGTATCTTTTGTATAAATCAGGTTTACAGTAGCTTCATTCCTTGATCACATTGCAACTAAAATATGTTGGTCATGGTTTATTTAAATAGTTTGATGCAGAAAAGGACCTTTTGTAACATTTTATTGTGAAATATATGAAAATTTTAGATGTACCATTTTTTAGATTTCAGGTTATCTCTGTTTTCTAGGAGGTTGGCAAACTACCATCCTACTGCCCATTTTTGTATATAAGGTTTTATTGAAACATAGCCACGCTTGTGCAGTGTATTATCTATAGCTGCTTTTGTGCTACAACATAAAATTGAGGAGTTACAACAGCAACCATCGAGCTTCCAAAGCCTAAAATGTTTACTATCTGGCCCTTTACCAAAAAAGTTTTTTTTTTTTTTTTAATGCTTGGCTTATTTATTTATTTATTTATTTTTAGCTGTGTTGGGTCTTTGTTTCTGTGCGAGGGCTTTCTCTAGTTGTGGCAAGCGGGGGCCACTCTTCATCTCAGTGCTCGGGCCTCTCACTACCGCAGCCTCTCTTGTTGCGGAGCACAGGCTCCAGAAGCGGAAGCTCAGTAGTTGTGGCTCACGGGCCTAGTTGCTCCGTGGCATGTGGGATCTTCCCAGACCAGGACTCAAACCCGTGTCCCCTGCATTAGCAGGCAGATTCTCAACCACTGCGCCACCAGGGAAGCCCTCAAATGGTTTTAATACCAGCTCAGATACCCATATTGCAAGGAAGACCACAGACTGATTTAACAGTAACTCCACATGGACTCCTGTGTTTCAAATATAAAACCACTGATTATTGCAGGAACTCACCTTGTTTATAAAATCTGATCAATCCACACTTACTAACTTCTCCTCTAAGACTAACTTATGATTAGCTCCAGCACCTAAAAATCTTTAAGTGTCCTTTCCTACCTTTCCCTTTGAAACCTCTTTTATCCTGGTGTTTTCCTTTGCTCTACAAGTCTTATAAACCCAGGTTTATGTGATTGTCAGTTTCCTTGGTGGTCTTTGTAAGGTAGATTTGAAAAAGTTTTTCATTAGACCTCTACTTACTATAATAGAAATAAAAGTTTGTAATATAAAGCGATTTTTATTTATTTTTATTTTATATTTATTTAGATTAACATTACTACAGGATACTCACCGCTCACACCTGAGGGAATATGAAAAATACATACAAGATGTCAAGAGCTCAAAGAGTACCATCCAGAACCTAGAGAATTCATCAAATCAAGTTCTAAATTTTAAATTCTATAAAAGCATGAAAGTTTATGTGGAGAATTTAATTGACTGTCTTGATAAAAAGGTACATGTCTATAAATATGTAATCATTTCCTTTTTATGGAGAAATTCCCTTACAATGTGATTTTTTTTAAAGTCTAAATCCCATAAATAAATATTTCATCTAGGACTCTTCCTACACATTTTTGACATACTGGCGTATTAAGTATTCCCTCAATGTTGGACAATTAGGTGTATTTTGTAATCATTTTGCAACTTATAAATAGCAGTATAAACTTTTTAAATTCCATCTGTTTAAGAAAAGTTCCTAGAAAGTAAATTATTAAGTGAAAGGGTCTAAATATTTTTAAGGCTTACGAAACATTGCTAAATTATCCTCCAGAAAGGTTGTATCAGTTTCTAGTTTACTACATTAAAAAATGGCTTTTGTTTTTACATATTTATTTTGATCTCAAACAAACCCTTTGTTTTGTTAATGTAGTTTTTCTTCTTTTGAATTATTTGTGTCCTTTGCACTGCTATCTTGGTTTATATGGAGGTTTTTTGTGTTTTTTTTTTTTTCCTTTTTTTCTTTTTCCAGTATATGGTGAACAGTTCTTTATTGCTTAAAAATTTTAGTGCTTTATCCTATTTGATGTTGGTAAACATTCCAATTTGCCTTGTTTGGTTTTGTTTGCAATGGTTTTTTCACATTAGATGTGTTTTTTGTTTTTAATTTTTTTTATTGAAGTATAGTTGATTTACAACGTTAGTTTCTGGTATACGGGAAAGTGATTCGGTTATATATATGTATGTTCTTTTTCATATTATTTTCCATTATTGTTTATTACAGGATATTGAATATAGTTCACCATGATGTACAGTAGGACCTGGTTGTTTATTTTATATATAGTAGTTTGTATCCACTAATCCCAAACTCCTAATTTATCCCTCCCCCACCCCCTTTCTCCTTTGGTAACCATAAATTTGTTTTCTGTGTCTATGACACAGAAATACGTTTTCTGTGTTTCTGTTTCGTAAATAAGTACATTTGTGTCATAGTTTAGATTCTGCATATAAGTGATATCATTTGGTATTTGTCTTTCTCTTTCTGATTTATTTAGTGTGATAATCTCTAGGTTCATCCATGTTGCTGCAAATGGCATTATTTCATTCTTTTTTATGGCTGAGTAGTATTCCATTGTGTGTGTGTGCGTGTGTGTGTGTGTGTGCACGCGCGTGTGTGCACCACATCTTCCTTATCCATTCATCTGTCAGTGGACATTTAGGTTGTTTCCATGTCTTGGCTATTGTAAATAATGCTGCTGTGAACATTGGTATGCATGTATCTTTTCGAATTAGAGTTTTCTCCAGATACATACCCAGGAGTGGGATTGCAAGATCATACAGCAACTCTATTTTTAGTTTTTTAAGGAACCCGCATACTGTTTTCCATAATGGCTGCACCAGTTTACATTCCCACCAACAGTGTAGCAGGGTTCCCTTTTCTCCACACCCTCTCCAGCATTTGTTACATGTAGACTTTTTGGTGTTGGCCATTTGGGGTCTTAAGTTGTCCTTTTTTTAAAGTAGACTAATCATTTTAAAAATATACTCTACTTTCTGCATTACTTTTAATTTACTTTTAAAATATTACCAAGTAATTACATTTTCTCCCCTATTGTTTTAAGTTGACTACCTTTAATATCACTTGGTAGTTACTTTTCTGAAATATCTATTACAATGTAACTTTCTTCATTCATCCTTGAAGAATTACACTATCAATGTATTCCATAGCATTAGCTATGGAACATCATTGGAGTGGGGGGGATTGTTGCCCAAGAAATGTAAAAATGCCGATTTCAACTAATCACTCAATTTTGCTTGACATCTTTCTTACTTGTCTGGTTAGGTCTCTTCCGTTCTCTATTTTTTTCAAATTTTACCAGTTTCCTCAAGTGTTCCCTACGGTCTGCCCCCGCTCAGTCTGTGAAAAATAGCTGCAGTCATCATTTTCTCCTCTTTTAGCTCAAAAAAGAATCCTTCTTCTTATCTATCCACTGTTACCATGTTCCTGACTCCAGCCCATTAGGTTTTATTATTTATGATATTTATAGCTGTTTTAATACAGTACGTTGATTTTCTAATTTTATTAGTATTAAAAGTATTGGAAGCTAGGTCTGTTCCTCACAGTGTTCTTTTAATTGAGATGAGATGGTATAAAAAATGTTTCTGTATATGAGAATTGAGCATGTAATGTGCTTATATATAAATATTTTATAATTCATTAAGGATGACCCACAAAATGTTACTTATATATGTATTTCAGATTATCAACATCCAAGAAATAGAATCAGCCATGCATGCACTCCTTGTAAAACAAGCCATGATCTTTATGAAACGCAGGCAAGATGAATTAAAACATGAATCAGCGTATTTACAACAGTTATCACGTTAGTGTTTTTCATGTTCAATGTGATTTTTTATTCATTAAGCTAAATTATCAGCTAAAAGATAAAAATATTTTTATTCCTGTATAAAAAATGTTTTTTGAGTATTTTCCCACTAACCTTTCACCTACCCCCTTCCAAAAATCCCAAACCATTTAAGCTAGGGCTTCAAAACGTCTTAAATGCAGTCTAAAACTAAAAAATGAAAATTATAACTTCTAATCACTTAGTATTTGAAACAAAATATTTATAGGACCATTTAATGACTGTTTGGAGATGACTTGAAATAAATATATAGACTGTGTCAGAAATATAACTTTATAAATTTTCCATAGCCCGTCCACAGATTGTTTGTGGAGGTTAAAGAAATTCTGGTGAGTTCAGCATAGAATCATCTGTAAGATCTCATTATATTAATAAAAGATTTGGATGCTTCCCTTTAGTTCTCACACTGGTTTTGTATTTTCAGAGATGTCTTCCATTGATTAAGGTGCTGTCAGGGTATAGTGAAAGAAATGGGACCATAGCGTCAAGTAGATGATAAAAGCAAAATCAGAATGACTCAAATACATGACATTCAGTTGGTCATAAATTACGGTACATGCTAAAATAGGAAATAATATGAATGATGTATTGGTAATGCAAATATTTCTAACATTTGACTATAGGGACAGAAAAAAAACTGGTGAAAACTGCTGAAAAAGAATACTAGGGAAAGAAACTTTATATTAAATTTTGTTAACTGTTCTCAGGTGCTGAACTATATTCACCAGACAAGGTACATTTTCTTAGACTAGCAAACTCAATGACTGTTAATATTGTGATAGGGTAACATTGCAATTTCATTGCATGATGAAATATGCAATTTAAGCATATTCTATTTGTGTGTGTTTATATATACAGATATGTATATATACCTAAGATATAACTTGTTTTCAAAGTGTTTCACTGTATTTCTTTTGAGAATTTGCAGTATGAAATCAATTTTATTCATTAACAGGCAAAGCTGAGACGTCAACAAATACAAGCTTGGCTATAGATGAAAAAACTCAATGGATTTTAGAAGAGATTGAATCTCGAAGGTAATTATATAAAGGCTTAAAGCATCGAGCAAGTATTTTTTACTACTTAAATACAGTTAACCATATAGTATAAATAACCATAACCTAGCATATTAATTTGTGAGAATGATATAAAACCAAAATTTATGGTTTAAAGATGCACTGGTATATTTGGATCAGTCAGAGGAATGGGTAAAATGGCATTTATCAGGCTGGGAATGGCTCATACCTAAGAAGCCGGTCCTAATTACATTGTTACCTGCTCTTCCAAATCTGGGTAGGCTATGGAAAAAAGAGGGAGAACCAATTCAGATTAATGAAGCTAAAATGTCAAAAATATTAACATAAAATTGCATGCAAATGTGATCGTTTATTTCTGGGTATTTTAAGTAAATGATGACTTTTTGTTTTAAAGCATTTCTTTTCAGCAGGAGCTATTTGTTTTTTTATTTATTTTTGGTTTATTGCAAAATACAGGGCACAAAGAAGACAAGCAAGGGTTCTTTCTGGGAATTGTACTCATCAGGAAGGAACATCTAGTGATGATGAACTATCCTCAGCAGACATGATGGACTTCCAAAAAAGCCAAGGTCAGTTATCCAGTTTCTAATGTGTCTTGAAGTATTGAAATGATGGAAAATGCTTTGCTGTGATTGCCCTTAATTATTTAAGCCATGTAAAATAGTTGGTAAAACTCAGGAAAAAAAGGAATACATTTTTTTTTCCATATAAGACCTGTCCTTTCCTCTGAAAAAATGGATAAAATGGAGGAGCATGATGAGTATTCCTTTTTCATCTCCTGTTATAAAGGAACCATGAACATTTTTGGCTTCATTTCTCTACTGCATACTTTCTATATTATAATTTTTAATTTAAAATAATTGAATTTAGTAAAGCCCAGTTTTAGCATTATAAGAAGGTAAAATATGTATAGTTGAGTGTGGACTTTACAGTCAACCAGATGAGTTCAAAGAGGGGATCTAGTCTGTGTGATCATTGGCAGATTCCTTGACTTCACTATATCTGATATCGTTGTTTGTTTGCTTGTTCTTTGTCTGTAAATAGGTAGGCTAGAAACACCTACCTTATAGGGAACATAGTTATGATGATGAAATGAGGTAATGTATTTATAATGTTTTGGCATATAGCAGGGGCTCAATAAACGGCAGACTTTATTAGTGTCAATTGTTACTAAAGTGTTTTTTTAATAAAACCTAATTTATATGTTAACATCAAAGGATAGTTTTCAGCTCAGTTGATTACATAAGTTATACATAACTATGTTTATAGGAAGCAAACTTCAAGATCACAAACTTAAAATGCATAATATACAGAGACTCATTTTCTTCACAGGTGACATTTTACAGGATCATAAGAAGATTTTTGAAGATGTACACGATGATTTTTGTAATATCCAGAATATTTTATTGAAATTTCAACAATGGCGAGAAAAGTTTCCTGATTCTTATTATGAAGCTTTCATTAGTTTATGCATTCCGAAGCTTTTAAATCCCCTAATACGATTTCAGTTGATTGATTGGAATCCTCTTAAGGTACATAAGCTTAACATGTGAAAAAAATAATCCTGATCACATTTAGTTACTTAAACCCTCTAGTTATCAGGTTAACTATAAAGTACCATTCCTTTAGAGTTGGAATTGATAATTTGTGCTTTGGAGTAATAGTCTGCACTCATCTTTCCTTGGTTCTCACTCTGTTTTTAAGGCTGAGTGACACTTAACATAGTAAAGGAAACACTTTTTCTTTTAAATCTTCTTCTATGATAAGTTTAAGATCACCCAAAAAAGTAAAGGTAGTATTAGACCTTAATTATTTTACAGTCTGTTTGAGTGAAATTCAAAATAGGTACCAAGAGTTCTGAAGTTGGAGATGACATAATGGGAATACTTGGCTAGGAAAGCTACAATGAAGGTGAGGAATTTAAATGAGGATTTGAAGGATATATAGAATTTAAACAGGAAGACAGAGGAAGGAAAAGGTATTTTATGAAGGTACATAGGGAGAAATATTAGTTTAGTAGAGACTGCGTAGATCCTAAATTAAGAGATATGAACTTGTTTTGATAGATAATGGGAGGCATGACATGATGAAGGTAATGTTTTAGGAAGCCCTGAGCAACAGGCTAACTTGGAGGCTAGGGAGAAAGAGTTGAAGGTATATACTGAAAGGCTATTGCTGTAGCCCAAGTGCAGGGTGAAGAATTCCTCACGTGGGGTGATAGTGACAAAGGGAAGAGAAAGAAAGTGTTGATTACAAGTGGCGTTATGAAGTAAGAATCAGTAAAATACTGAGAATAAACCTAACACAACATATCAGAAAGATGACCTCAAGATTTGGAGTCTGAGTTATTAGTACAATGGTAGTTCCATTCATAAAAATGGTGACTTTTCAGAGAGGAAAACGGTTTTGATGGAAGTTTTACTTTATAGACAATGAAATGATTATGGGACATCCATGTGGATATGCCTGTTAAGCAAACAGAAATGAGAAAATGAAACTTTAGGAAGAAAGGAGAGCTGAAAATAAAGATTTAACAAAGTAAAGGATGGATCCTTGTCGTTTTATCTTCCTCTGCTCTAGTCATGCATGCCTTTAGGCTCTGTGTTAGGGCCATGCAGTGTTCATAGTTTAGGAGCCAAGCTTATCCCTAAGAAAGTGGTAGAAAGTTGGTCGGAAAGCAGCCTAGTTGTTAACCACTCCAGCTGAACTGAGTACTCTGTTACATCTAGCAAAGATCTGTTCATTCAGTTATTCAACAAATAATAATTGGCCATCTGCTGTTTGTTTAATAATAAGCTAAACCACATGCAAAGTATATATTTGTGCCAGTGAGACTCGAGAGAGCCAGAAGTGAATTTTGCGTGAGGTAAGTGTATTTTTATAAATAAATTCCGTGGCTATTTTAACTGCTGTTGTTATAAATGTATACTTTGCTCCTAACAGTACCTGCCATGTAGTAGGCTCTGAACACATAGTGGACATTTCTGGATATGAATGAGTGCATGAAACGCAGTGTTCTGTCCTACTGCCTAGACATCATGTCTTAGTCATGTCATCCTGCCTAGCCTTGGTGGTCTAGTACTGTATACATTGGGTTAAAATACGGAATTATTCTCCTTTGATCCTTAGAGAAGCTCTGGTAATTACTGAAAAAGTTAACTATTTAAGAATAAACTAACGTTTAAGAATTTATTTATAACTTAGATAATTTTATTTATAAGTTTGATTCCATAGGTTTAAAACAGATGCCATGGTTCACAGCTATAGAAGAATTTATAGATGGCAGTATGGAAGATTCAAAGAAGGAAGATAGTTCTGATAAGAAAATCTTGTCTACTGTCATCAGCAAAACAATTATTCCTCGACTTACAGGTACTGTTTTGTAATTATCTTGATAAAATTAAATTGTTCTTTGGCAAAGTGTGAGATCATTAATTTCTGTTAACAGTCACAAATTTTTTTGGACGTTTTTGAACACAACAACTGTAATATGCAGTAAAAAGCAATAGATGTTATAATTTAAGCTGATTAAAAAATGCTTGTTTGTGCAAGTGATTGGCTATCAAAACTCCTGATACTTTTGGATCTTTAGTATTTGTGACATTAGCGTTACTTTTATTTTTTTTAATTAATTAATTTTATTTTAGGCTGCGTTGGGTCTTCATTGCTGCGTGCAGGCTTTTCTCTAGTTGGCGGCGAGCGGGCTCTAGAGTGCAGACTCAGTAGTTGTGGCACACGGGCTTAGTTGCTCTGCTGCATGTGGGATCTTCCTGGACCAGGGCTCAAACCCATGTCCCCTGCGTTGGCAGGTGGATTCTTAACCACTGCACCACCAGGGAAGCCCTAGCATTACTTTCATTAGTTACTTTTTTATAAGTCATTTATTAGGGGCACACTTTCATCTCTACTACATGTATTTCTTTCTTTCCCTTAACTTCTCCCCTTATGTTTCTTTTTCTTTTTTTAATTTTTATTGGAGTATGGTTGATGTACAATGTTGTGTTAGTTTCAGATGTACAGCAAAGTGAATCAGTTATACATATCCACTCTCTTTTTGGATTCTTTTCCGATATAGGCCATTACAGAATATTGAGTAGAGTTCCCTGTGCTACAGCAGGTCCTTATTAGTTATCAATTTTATATATAGTAGTATGTACATGTCAATCCCAATCTCTTGATTTACCCCTACCCCCCATCCCCTGGTAACCATAAGTTTGTTTTCCATATCCATGACTCTACTTCTATTTTGTAAATAAATTCATTTGTACCCTTATTTTTAGATTCCACATATAAGCGATAACATGTGATATTTGTCTTTGTCTGACTTACCTCACCCAGTATGGCAATCTCTAGGTCCATCCATGTTGCTGCAGATGGCATTATTTGTTCTTTTTTATGGCTGAGTAATACTCCATTGTATATATGTACCACATCTTCTTTATACATTCCTCTGTTGATGGACATTTAGGTTGCTTCCATGTCCTGGCTATTGTAAACAGTGCTGCAGTGAACATTGGGGTGCATGTATCATTTTGAATTATGGTTTTCTCCAGGTATTTGCCCAGGAGTGAGATTGCTGGGTCATATGGTAGTTCTATTTTTAGTTTTTTAAGGGACCTCCCATACTGTTCTCCATAGTGGCTGTACCAATTCACATCCGCATCAACAGTGTAGGAGGGTTCCCTTTTCTCCACACCCCCTCCAGCACTTACTGTTTGTGGACTTTTTGATGATTGCCATTCTGACCGGTGTGAGGTTATACCTCATTGTAGTCTTGATTTGCATTTCTCTAATAATTAGTGATGTTGAGCAGCTTTTCATGTGCTTTTTGGCCATCTGTATGTCTTCTTCTTCGGAGAAATGCCTATGCAGATCTTCTGCCCATTTTTTGATTGGGTTATTTGTTTTTTTGATATTGAGCTGCATTAGCTGTTTGTATGTTTTGGAGATTAATCCCTTGTTGGTTCCTTCATTTGCAAATATTTTCTCCCATTCTGAGGCTTGTCTCTTTGTTTTGTTTATGGTTTCCTTTGCTGTACAAAAGATTTCAAGTTTAGGGAATTCCCTGGCAGTCCAGTGGTTAGGACTCCATGTTCTCACTTCTGATGTCCTGGGTTTGATCCCTGGTTGGGGAACTGAAATCCCACAAGCCATGTGGCGTGGCCCAAAAAAAGATTTTAAGTTTAATTAGATCCCATTTGTTTATTTTTGTTTTTATTTTCACTGGGAGGTGGATCAAAAAAGACCTTGCTGAAATTTATGTTAGAGACTGTTCTGCCTATGTTTTCCTCTAAGAGTTTTATAGTGGCTGGCCTTACATTTAGGTCTTTAATCCATTTTGAGTTTATTTTTGTGTATGGTGTGTTTTTTCTTTCTTTAAAAAACATTACTACATTTCCCTCACATCTGCCACCAGCACTCAGAAGCCCTTGGGCATTGATGCTTGAAGACTTGTTTTATCTGAAATTGTACTTGATAAGGATCTGTTCTACCATGTCACTGAGAATGAATTCTGACTACAAAGTCTGCAGAACTCTTAAAAGATGAAGCAACTTACTTTATAGTGCTTCTCAGCCAACTTGACTATACTTTAAAGATTTTTTTTCATATAACTTGTAGTGCAATCATGGGTATCTTAGAAAGATAGTACTTTTAACTATTTACTTTTAGCTATTAAGCACTATTAATGATAGCATAGAATATATGTGCCTCATTTAAGTACTCATCTGGAAACTCCAGATATTTCACTTACAATTAAACAGTTCCTCAGGTAAGTAGCATTATGAGAAATTAATACTGTATATTTATTCTCAAGTCCTATCCTGGACCTTCTTCATGAGCTCCCTGGGTAATCCCTGGCATACTCTCCTCTAGTGCCATCTATACCCGTGTTGCTCAGTATGGTAACCACTAGCAATATGTAGCTATTAGAATATAAATTTCAAATTAGTAAAATTAAAATTCAGTTCTCAGTCACACTAGACACATTTTAAATCTTCAGTAGCCATATATCACTCATGGCTATCATATTAAATAGTGCAGATGTAAGATGTTTTTTTCCATCATCACAGAAAGTTCTTTTGGATGGTACTATTCTGCTTCATTTTAAATCAAAAAGAACTGGAAGAACAAGTCCAGATGTCTTCTTAGAGCACCAGATCTCTCTTATCAAAGTATCTTCTGAGTACATCTACTTGACAACTTAAACTCCACATGCAAAATCATACTTGCCATCTTTGCTGCAGACCTGCTCCTCTTATATTCCTTGTTTGGAAAATGGTACCTCCATCTACCCACATATTCAAACCAGAACTTTCAAGTCATCCACTCCTCCCTTTTTCTTACCTCCTTATATAAGCAATTGCCAAGTCTGTTTTTTTTTTCCTTTTTCTAACCCATTTTCTATACAAAAACCATGGTGATCTATCTAAAATATGTCTGATTCTGTCATACCTCACGTAAAACACTTTAATTATTCTTAACTGTCTTTAGGATGAAGTCTAAACTCTTTAACATGCTTTCCAGGCCTTTCAGGATTTTGTCTCTGTTTAGTAGTGCTTTATCCCCATCTCCTGCCATGCTCGGTTCCTTCTTCCCCTCATTTCCACCTCTACTGGACTTAAGCTATATTCTCCTTGGCCTTTATACCTTCTGCCGTCCATCCACTTGACAAATCCCCTAACTCTACCTCTTTCATCTAGCTAACTTCTCCTCATCTTTCAGAACTCAGTATGGACATTGCTTCTAGGAACTGGATTAGGCATACCTTTCAGGGTTCCTGTAGCACTCTGAACTCATACTTAAGGTGGCATCTACACATTAAATTATAATTGCTTACCTAAATGTTTGTATTTGCCATTAGACAGAATTGTTCAGAGGCAGTTACCTAGTCTTACTTATTGCTTTGTTTCCTGTCGTTAATGTTAGGCGCATAGTAGGCTCTCAGTATTAGTTGACCAAATATTTCTAAGATTATTACAAGCCTAACCTTCTAGATGCCTGAGAAATCACTGTTTTATATTTGACTTGGGATGTTTCTTTTTAACCTATTTACATTTTTAAAAGTTATTTAAGGGCTTCCCTGGTGGCGCAGTGGTTGAGAGTCCGCCTGCCGATGCAGGGGACATGGGTTCGTGCCCCGGTCTGGGAAAGATCCCACATGCCGCGGAGCAGCTGGGCCCGTGAGCCATGGCCGTTGAGCCTGCGCGTCTGGAGCCTGTGCTCTGCAACAGGAGAGGCCACAACAGTGAGAGGCCCGCGTACCGCAAAGAAAAATTTTTAAAGTTATTTAACATGTATTTTACAAGGGTCAAGCACAGTTGTTACTTCAGTGTATACAACAATGAACAAAATAATAATCCCTGCTCTCATGGAGCTTACATTCCATGAAGAAGACAAAGGATAAACAAGATAAATAAATAAAATCTAGAGTATGTTGGTTAAAAGGGCCAAGGAGAAAAATAAAGTAAGGGAAAGAGATACAAATTATGAAAGAGTAGTGCAATTTAAAATAGGTTGGCCAGGGAAAGCTTTCCTGGGAAGGTCACAAATGAGCAGATTCCAAAAGGAAGTAAAGAAGTGGGCCATGTGAATATCTGAGGTAACAGCATCCAAGGCAGCAGAAACAGCAAGTACAAAGGCCCTGAGGCAGGAGCTAGCCTGATTTGCTTGAAAAACAGCACATAAGCCAGGGTAACTTTAGTAGAGTGAGCAAGGGGGAGACTAAGAAGAGGTGAGCAGGATGACTGGCTGTGTCATATGGGGCCTTATAATCATTTGTAAGGACTTTTACTTAAGTGAAAGAGTGAGAAGCAGTTGGAGAGTTTAGAGCAGAGAAGTGACGAGATCTGCCTTAACATTTTAGCAGAATTACTCTGGTTATTGTGTTGAGAATGAACTGTAGGCAGACCAGTTAGGAAGCTTTTGCAGTAATCCAGGCAACAGATGATAGTAGCTTAGGCTTGAGTGTTAAAAGTGGAGGTGGCTGGAAAGTGGTTGAATTCTGTATAAAGTATAAATATAAATAGGAAAGAGAAGGCAAGTGACCAGAGTCCTGAGGTACTCCAGCATTTAGAAAGTCAACAAGATGACAAGCAGACAGTAAAGGAGACCAGAGAGGTAGGTGGGAAACAGGAGTAGTATCCTGGAAGCCAAGTAAAGAAAAGTGTTGCAATTGTTGCTGATAAATCAGATGGGGAGTAGAATCAACCATTAGATTTTACAAATGGTGAAGGTTATCTGTGACTTGGTAAGAGTAGTTTAGGAGAATAGTTGGAGGTAAGGCCTAACTGAAGTGAATTCAGGAGTTTGAGGAGAGGAATTGGAGATAGGAAGTTTTTTGAGTAATTTTGTTATAAAATGAAGGAAAGAAATAAGGCAGCACTGGAGGGGAAAGTAGGGTCAAGAGAGGGATTATTTTTAATACAAGAGAAATAATTGTATAGTGATAGAAAAGATCCAGTGGAAGTGAGAGGGCAGAATTCCGGGAACAGGATCTTCAAGAAAGCCAAAGGGGTTGGGGTCTTTTGTACAAATAAAGGGTTGGCCTTGGCAAGGAGTGTAGTGCTTCATCCATAGGAATGGGAGACAAGTTAGAGTTTATGAGCACAGGTGCTGGTAGTTGTGTACATGCTGTAGGAGGACCTTGTGGAGCTTCTCTTCGGATTGATTCTATTTTTCTCATCAAATGGGGAAGAAATCAGCTGAGAGTGAGAGCAAGTGTGGAGAAAAGAAAACGTAAGAAATAGTCATCTGGAAGAGTAAAGTCCACTAACTGAGAGCAAGGAGGAAGGATAAGGCAGGAAATAATTGTCTAGGCCAGAGGGAAGGAGAATGGGCCAGGGAAACAGAATGTGATTGCTGGGCAGCATTAAGGTCTCACTGGAGTTTCATGGTGATCAATTTAAAGTGTATTTTTTTCCAGCCATGTTTTAGCCGCATGGCTGCAGGCACAGATGCTGTGACAAGGTGAATTAACTAGGGTTGCAGTTGAGCCAGACTGCAGCAACAGAGAGTGTATGCAAATACATAATGGTACTGATTGTCATGGATTTTAAACCACATAAGGAGGGAAGTAGTGTTTGCTAAAGGCCTCAATTGTTTATATGTGACAAGCAAAGCTCAGTCTAGTAACTAAACTGTGCACCACCAAAAATTTTTGTTTCAGACTTTGTAGAATTCATTTGGGATCCCTTGTCAACCTCACAGACAACAAATTTAATAACACAGAGCAGAATGATTTTTGAAGAACATTCCACTTGTGAAAATGAAGTTATTAATAAAGGCAAACAGGTAATAATTTCTAGAATTATGAATTTCTTGATATATTTGTAAATCAATATAATTTATTATAAATCTTTGTTTACGGAAGATGCAGAAGAAGTGATTATCAGAAAGCTATTTAGGGAAAAATATTTAGGATTGACCATTTTTTGCTCTTTATAATTAATAAGATGAAAGAATACACCTTGATATTTCTGAACACTCTTACAGGAATGGTAATGCTTATAAAAGGATACACATACATTCAATAAGATCCAGATTATTACTTACATTCTTATTAGCTTATTTCTCTCTGTTTAGTGGTCTGATTTGTGTTCTCATGGCCCAGCCAGCTGTCTTTCAGGTTTGTGAATACACATTGGCCCTGCAGAGACGAAAAGGCATAAATATATTAGTGCAAATTCATTCCTTCTAAAAGAAAAAAATAGTAATTACCTTTGTTTTTTGGCAAAAGTGTAGTAGTGTTATGACCTTACTTTAACAATGATTTTAAAACTAGGCTAACATTCATTATACTAACTAGTTTTCTATAATCTGCCAAAGTTGAGAACAGTAATCTCTTTGAGGATTCAAGCTTCAATAGGATAGATTCTCATCTTAGCATAATTTAGAATTGAGTTTCACTGAACATAAGACATAAAGAGGAAGGAACTTTTTAGAGGCTCTTTTGAGAGTGTTGAATCTTACTCTTATTGTAGTACTCTTTTTTATCACTCTGTTTGTTGATAATATTGTATACGCATGCAGTTAAATAAGTAAACCAATTTTACGTTGAGTTTTAAGAGAATTAAGAGAGAGATTGACAGACTGGAGGGTACCCAGAGTGGAATAACCAAGGTGGTTGAAAAAGCAAGGAGACATGTCGTATTCATATTCTGAACACCAGTAAGTTTTAGCACTTGGAATTGCTGTCATGAAGGAGGGAAGCTGTAAGAAATAAGAGGGAGAATAGGGATACCAGCATGATTCTGCCTTTAAGAAGCATGTTATCTTAGAGGAAACAAGATGTACATAAACTGTTATTTCAAATAGGAAGTAAGTGGGAGTGACAAGGAGCACTTGTTTATCTAACTCCTGCTGTGTACTAGGCACTCTGTTAGGTCTTATTCCTGTATCATCCCACTTAGTCCCAGCAATCCTATTAACAACGGTGAGAGCTTAATCTTACAGTTGAAGAATCTGAATCTTGAAAGGTTGTTCACAGTAAAGCCTTGAGTCAGAACTAGGATTTGTACCTTGGTTATTAGTCTTACTTTAAAGCCCAGGCTCATCTCACTGACCACATTGCCTCCCCATGAGTGGCCCAGATAAAGGGCTATGAACCTCAAAAGAGAGGCAGGAGAGAGAATTTACTTTCTGCAGTGAAAGAATTTTTGTTAGATGTGGCATTTGAGCAGGGACCTGAAGGAAGGAATAGGATTTGAACAGTAGCAACTGATGGAGAAAGGGCATTTTCCACTTACCCCCAACAGGATAAAAGCATGTGAAAATCATGCAGGAATTAGAGAGATTCAACTAAAAAGAAGATGTGCATAGAGATAGTGTTTATATTTGAAGAAGGAATAGATTTATTCTGTGTTGTTATAAAGCATAGAACCAAGATTAGTAGGTTAGAGCTACAAGGAAGCAGCTATATAGTCCTGTATTTGCTCTCCATGTGGGATTATTTAACTATAGCCCAAATGTAAATAGTGCTTTGCCATTTTTTAAACACTTTCACATTTTCTCATTTGATCCTCGCAACCTTGTAAAATGTGTGGACTTTAATTGCATTTTACAGGTGAAGGAGCTGGGGCCCAGAGTTCCAAGTCACTTTTAAAAGATTAAAGTGGCAGGCCCAGCACTTTGTAACCACTGAAGTCTTTCAGTGGTGTTATGGATTCACTCATGAAGTCTTTATACTGGTAATTTTAATTCTGGAAGCCCTCCCACTCTGAATGTTGAAAATGGGGTCTTTGCATTCGTAGGAGACTAGAACTACATCAGGACTTTCAACTTTGGCACTCTTGGCATTTGGAACAGATAGTTCTTTGTGGGAGGCTGTCCTATGCATTAAGATCCCCTGGTCTCTACTCACTAGATGCCAGTAGCACTTCCCCATCTTGACAACCAAAAATATCTCTAGACTTATAAACTATTCTGAGGCATGGCAAAATTATCCCTACTTGAGAATCAGTGTACTACGTAATATTCCAGGTTAGTAACACAGTTTGCCAGTGATTTTTTTCAGTGATATTTAAGAATTGAAGAGAATGAGAAAGGTTCCAGAAGAACAAGTCAGCATAGTTCCTGATTTTGAAGTGAAAAGCAAATGATTCTGTAAACTAATGTCTGGTGAGAATAGTTTTGATTCTGGTTAATGTTCTAAAATAGATTATTACAGAGATGGATTACGAGCACTTAAAATAAGAAAGCAGTGTTTACTGTAATCTTTCATTGATGGGGTTCCTAAATACAAACAACTGTTTATCAAAGCATATTCCTCCATATTATCTCAGTTACTTTCACTGATAAATAAGGTACTGTACAGGTACAGTAGATAATGTATTTAAATATGTTAAGATTTTCTTACGGATCAAATGGGAAAAGATATGGTATAGTCAGATATACAGAAAACTGGTAGAGTATACCTAAAGAATACTGACCCATAGGGCCAGAATCTTCTCAGCTTTGTCCTGTTCAGTATCTTTATTGAACTGGATGAAGATGTAAAATACATGCTAATAAAATTTCTCAATGGCAGAAAGCTAGGGATTCTGTCATAAATCTATGGATAAAAGAATTAGAATCCAAAAGAATTTCAAAATACTGAGAAAATGGAGTGACTCTCAAAACATAAAATGTAAAAGGAATATACATATGTCCTACCATTGTGTTCAAAAATTCAACTGCATAAATACAAGATGGGAGAGGCACAGCTTTGAAGCAACCATAGGTAACACAGAGGGGGATTATAATCAACCGTAAACCCAGTATGAGTCAACAGTGTCACTCGAGTAGCAGAAAGACTAATGGGAGTTCATCCTACTAGGTGTCTGCTCTTTTGAGTAAAAATGTTGTATGTGCTTTCCTCACAAGTAAGACTTCCCTGGGTATTTTGCATTTAATTTTAGGTTAAAGTATATTAAATGGAGAGTGTCTAAGATGGTATGGGAAAGAGAAAATGTAGAAAAGTGAGATATCAATCTTAAACCTGAAGAGTTTTCATAGAGAAGGATGATTAGATTTGCTCTGCATGATCCTGAGAAGTAACCGGGACCAACGTATGGAAGGTGTAGGGGAGAGAAGTTTGTTTCTCATTAACTGAAATCTAATAGTCAAAAGATACCCGAAGTTATGCACAGCCTCAGGGGATAGTGCATAGGTTGGGTGACCGGTTAGTGGAAATGTGAAAGTGACATCAGATGAATGCTTAGATAGATTGGTAGTTTTCAAATTTCTTTTTCTATCCACAGAAACTTTTTCAAATAAAGTCTTACACACCCCTGTACACAGACACACACAAAAGTAATGCTGCTCTTGCTGTGGTGAGCACCTCCTCTCATTCTCCCCTGAGGGCCTCAACATCTGCCCATGCCACCCAGGATTATCACTATGGATATGCAGAGCATCATAAAAACTACTAGCCAGAGCTTTTAAGTGCCTTTTCAGAGCTGTTTTAGAGTCTCTATACAGTGCTCACTTCGGCAATACACATACTAAAATTGGAATGATACACAGATTAGGATGGCCCCTGTGCAAGGATGACACACAGATTCATGAAGCATCCCATATTTTTATCATGTGTGTGAAACTTTGAAAATTGTAAAGCATTGTAGAATTTAAAGAACCTTTCAATAAGAAAATAATAAAATAAAAATAAAGTCTGTGTACAGAAGTGTGTGTAGTTGTTAAAACTTTACGCTTTAGAGAACTTTGTTTTTCCACCAAAGGTATTTTACTACTTGGAAAAGTTAATGAGCTTCGAGTTACAAAATATGTGAATTTAAGTTTTCTTTTGTTTTAAACAATTATTTGGAAATAATGGCAAACTTACAGAAAATTCTCATGAATAAAAATAGCATATTCATAGGCCTTTTACCCAGATTGACTTGTCGTTAATGTTTTGCCCCATTTGCATTAGTGTTTGCTCTCCCATTAGATATACACACACACACACACACACGATTTTTTTTCTCCTGAACACTTTTTGAGAGTAAGTTGCGTATTTGCTAAGGATAGTCTGTTACATAACCATAGTACAGTTAGCAATTTCAGTAAATTTAACAGTACTTAATCTACCATCCATATTCTACTTCTGTCATTTGACTCAATAAAGTCCTTTATAGCATTTTTTAGAGAACTATTTTTAAGAAACAAAAATTAATATGGAAATATTTATCAAGGCTGAGATTCAAAATCATTTACATTAAGTGGAAAAAAATCAAAGCATAATTGTATTTTAAAAGAATTCAAGAGGGCTTCCCTGGTGGCACAGTGGTTGAGAGTCTGCCTGCCGATGCAGGGGACACAGGTTCGTGCCCCAGTCCGGGAAGATCCCACATGCCACGGAGCGGTTGGGCCCGTGAGCCATGGCCACTGAGCCTGCGCGTCAGGAGCCTGTGCTCCACAGCGGGAGAGGCCACAACAGTGAGAGGCCCACGTACCGCAAAAAAAAAAAAAAAGAAAAAGAATTCAAAATGTTTAAGAGAGTAAAAGAAAATTGAGTTTTTGTTTTTAATGTTAATATTGATATGCAGCCATTTGAGGAATATGTTACAGATATTTAAGTAAAAAGAGAAACAGGACTTCAGTTAGATACACCTTTTATGAAAAAATATATTCGGTTGAATTCTACATTTATGAGTAACTTGCTTAGTATAGGCTATATGACAGCTTAATTTGTGCTACACACATTGTCACTGACTTAAAAAAATAACTTTCCCTCTAGTATGTAGTATGCCATTTCCATTTTTCAAATATGGATTCCTTTTTTAAGTGTAAGACCAGTATCTTATTATAGAAATTTTTATCCTAGTACAAAGACTGATACCATTGTAGGATATTTTCAGCCTACCTTTTATTTCAGAATTTTAATACTAATGGACATGTACACTCGTATCCTACTTCTTCCACTTAAATATTAAACATTTAAATTTGCATGTTACTACAGTCTTCATAAACTTTAGCTAAATATTTCATGCACTGGATGGACATAACATGATGTCCTTAAAAGTTACCATGATTCGATGTTTTGGTTATTTTCCAATTTTGATATACAAACAATAAAATGAATTTGCCAAAGTGAATATACTATGTCAAAGGATATTGACAAACCAGGGAAGAAACCATATTTATAAAGCATCTACAAATCAATAAGAGATAGAACCTAATTTAAATTTAAAAAAAAACATATGTAGACAAGCATCTTAATTGTATACTTTGCAAAGGGGCATGTCCAAATGGTAAATAAGAATATGAGAAGATGCTCAACATCAGATTACTCAATAGGAAAATAAAAATTAAAATATGACTATATACTCACCAGAACTGCAAGTATTTAAAAACTCTAAAAATACCAGGATTTAGTAAGGGTGTAGAGACAGGATTTCTCATACATGGCTAGTGGGAATATAAATGGCATACCGCTATTTCAGAAAACAATTTGGCATTCTGTACAAAGTTGAACATATAAACATGAACTGTATTCCAGCAGTTCTATCTCTACATATGCCCATTAGAATTGTATGCCCATGCATACTAAAAGACATGTTCTACAAGAACTTTTCTAGCAACATGATTCATAGTAACCCCTAAACTGAAGACCATCTAAATAAATGTTCCATCATGCAACGGAATATTGTGCTGCAGTGAAAAGGCACCAACTACTGCAACGTGCAACAACATGGATGAATGCAGTTCTCTTGTACCTAATTGATAGTTATTTTAACACCTGAGTCTGTGAGTGTGTACAAATTTGCACTGTTCTGTTAAAATTGCTTCTTTTGGTAAACACATTTCTACCTATATCAGTGATGCTTTTAAATTTTTTAAAAATAGGATTTACTTAAACCCATTGTTTCAAGAATGAAGAAGGCAATAGATGATGATGTTTTTATTCCTCTATATCCAGAGAGGTAAGAGTTGCTAATTTCTAGATTTTATGAAATAGTTACTCCTGCAATACAGATTCATTTAAGAGTGTAATGTAGAAGAAACTAAATGTATTAAGTGTTTACAAAACACACATACGTATTAAGACGCAAATTGAGATTTCAACAAATATTTTTCAGTCACCTTTTATATTGCCGTGTATGATGTCTGGCACTTAGACATAGGTTTTAGGGGGGTTTTTTGGTTGGGGGTGGTGGTTAATGATATTCCTAAGAACATGACAGTCGGCATGGCAGAGTGCTTAGGACCACAGATTCTGGAGCCCAGATTCACCATTACTAGATATTTGACCTTGGGCCTTTCTGTGCATCAGTGTCCTTGTATATAAAATTGGGCATTAAATTAATGCCTACCTCACAGGACATTGTGAAGATGAAGAGAGTGCTCAGAACAATGCCTGACACGGAAAGCCCAGCATAAGGCCTGGAACATCACTGAGGGGCCAGAAACTGCATCTTTGAATTCTATATTTACCTTTAAATGATCAAACAAGTAGTATTTGATGCATATTCTTACATTTGTTAAGAAGGCATCAGTTATATCAGTTATAGTAATGGATCATGAACTGAAGCTGTAGAGTACTTACAGGATGGAAGAGCTGTATGGAAAGAAAAGAAAGGAACTTCTAAGCTTGCTAGTTAATGTGAATCCTGAAGAGATGCCTGCATGTAAAAATTCCCCCCCAGTAAGGTTTGTAATATTTTAGATAAGTAATATAGTCCCATGGTTAAAAAGTATGAATGTGTATTTTTAAACTTTGTTTATGTTTAAAATGAAAAGTCTTACTCCCTCCCATTCCTGACCTCCATCCACCCAGTTTTTGCCCTTCCTTCTCTGTACACATACATGCATGCAAGAATGCTCAATGTTGGTAATTTTTTTTACCTTTCCAGAATTTCTTTATGCAATTAGAATTAAATACTTACAGAATTTTAATACTTATAATGCAATTAGAATTAATCTTATTTTCCTCTCCTTTTTTATATATCTACTTATAAAGTAAGTATATTGTAGTCATAACCATTGTTTTGTACCTTAGTTTTTTGACTTAGTACATCTTTGAGATCTTTTTATGACATCACATAAGTTGTTTCCTCAGTCTTTTTTAAGCTGCACAATATGCCATTATATAGATGTACTGTAATTGACGAGCATGTAAGCAGTAAACCATTACTAACAATGTTGGGAATAATTTTATGGACATATTATTCTGTACATGTGGAAATGTATCTACAGAAGGCATTCTCAGACATGGATTTATTGAGTCAAAAGTGTGCATGCATTTGTAATTTTAGTAGATATCACCAGAGCACCTCCTTTTATATTCTGTTAAGGCTTAGTTTGGTTGATTTTAAAAAAACAAAACCATTCAGGTTTTTAAACTCTGTTTCTGAAAGATGAACAGTCATTTGCATTTTCTTCTTTCTCTTTCTTTTGCTTCAAATTAGTGCTGTAGAAAACAGAATGTCACCACATTCAAAGTTCCAAGAAAGACAGTTCTGGTCAGGTCTAAAGGTAAGCAGAAAACGGCAGAAATAAAAATAATTGTTTTTATTTTTTAAAAAGTTTACTATAGAGTGAAGATCAGCAAAATTCTGTAAAGGACCAGACAGTAAATATTTTAGGCTTTGTAGGTCATATGGTCTCTGTTGAACTGTTCAGCTCCGCCACTGTAGTACAAACAGTCACAGACAATATGTAAACAAATGAGCGCATGTCTTTGGTTCAGTAAGCTTTACTATCATTTAAAATTACAAAAACCATTCTTGGGACTTCCCTGGCAGTCCAGTGGTTAAGACTCCACGCTCCCAATGCAGGGGCCTGGGGGTTTGATCCCTGGTCAGGGAACTAGATCTCCCATGCCGCAACTAAGAGTCCGCATGCCACAACTAAAAGAGCCCACGTGCCACAGTCCCGCATGCTGCAATGAAGATCCCTCATGCCGCAACTAAGACCTGACACAGCCAAATAAATAAATATTTTAATACATACATACATAAATAAATAAACATTCTTAGTTCACCAACTTTACGAAAACAGGCAATAAGCTGTATTTAACTCACAAGCCATAGTTGTCTCACCCCTGGTCTAAATGATACAGGATGAAGTCGGTGCTAAGTCAGTGGCAAAGGAAGGTAAGGAAAAGATGGATTCAAAAGATATTAATTACGTATGAAGAATGTAGGGTGTTAGTCAAGTTTTTGAATTTGGCAACCTGGTAACTTATGATGACATTCTTTGAGGGCGTTGGAGGGGTTACAGGAAGAAGAAAAGGTTTGGGAGGAGAGATAAGATCTGTTTTGGACATAGTGAATTTAATATCTATGGGACAAATGGAGGCAATTGGATATATGATTCTGAATTGCACGGACAGATCTGAGCTGGAGATTTGGGAGTCAACCACATATAGGCAGTATTTGGAGGCATGGTCATGAATGACAACCTCTGAGGAGATTGCATGAAGCATGAGAAGAAGGCTAAGGATACACCCTTAGGAGATACTGAGATAAGAGGTGGGCAGAGAAAGTGGAGTCTTCAGAGAGGCCTTAAGAATGAGTTGTGAAACTAAGAATGGTCATAAGAGAGTGGCATCAGGGAAACTAAGTGAAGGGCCTTCAAGAACGAAGACAGAGTGTTAATGCCACTGAAGAGAATTAGAAGACAAATTTTTTTACTGGATTTGATGATGATAAGGTAATGGGTGACCTCAGCAAGAACAATTTTGATAGGGTGAATCAATACTTGTCATGTGGTTGAGTCAGGGAAAAAGGCTTTTCAAGAAGAGGAAGCAACATCAAAAATGACATTGTGAAAAGGCATTGCATATTAGTACAATTGGATGTAGTTTAGCACCTAGCGTGATACATATATTACTGGAAAGAAAGTGGAAGATACCATAAAATTCACAGAAAGATCTGCATTTAGAGGAGGGAAATGCAACCCATGTTACTTTTATTAGATTTTCTTAAAAGTATTTTACCCAAGGTATCTCCAAAGTCACAGGTTATTATTAATCTTATTTTCTATATTAGAGCAGTGAGGTTCTCAGGTTTGATTGATTTCTCAAGGTCACACATTGGTAACAGTAGCACTGGCTTTAACAGCAGTGCTTTTATGAATCCTGAGGTCCTGTGGTCTTGTATCTGATGGCCCGAGCCTCCAGGAGAGTACGGATTGAGAAGGAAGACTATTGATCAGGAAAGGCTCCAGCAAGGTAATTTGAAATAGATTTTGAGCGGTTGTCCTAAAAAAATGAAAATAGGATGAACAAATATATGGAGGTTGGAAAGAATCAAGTGTTTATTCAGAAATGTTTTCTGTTGATTCTAAAATTTATGGTTCCAACAGTGCCAATTGTAGTGAGAGTTTAAAAGAGTTTGACCAACTTTTTATGTTTGTTGGATACTATTACAGTTTTCCTTTGGAGAAAAGGTACATAGTCACTTGATATTTTATTGTGTTTTAGCTCTTCCGCAATATTCTTCTTTGGAATGAACTCCTCCCAGAAGACACCTTGCAAGAGCTAGGACTAGGGAAGCTGCTGAATCGTTATCTTATTATAGCTCTTCTCAATGCCATACCTGGGCCAGATGTTGTTAAAAAGTGCAACCAGGTAAATTGTGTAGAAACTGATTCTAATTTTATCATTTTTAAAATTTAGTTATTAAAATCAATTTTGTAGCAAAATAATTAAAATTATGGTACTCACATTAACAACAAATTAACAGACTAGAAACCCAGAAGAACCCAGTATTTTAAAAAAGTATACTGGTTAACTGTTTACAAAATGAATGTTAGATCCTCACCTCTCACTACATACCAATGTAAATTACAGGTGAAGTAAAGAATTAAGTGTAAAAAAATGAAACTATAAAATATTGTACTAAGAAGATAAATGACTATACCTGATGTTAAGGGAGTCCTTTCTGAACTTAAAAGCAAAAATGGTGAGAAAAAATAATAGATTTGACAAAAATGTAAAACTTCAGTAAACCAAAAATGTATCAGGATTATTTGATTATTGTTAAAACTGGAAGATGGGTTCATTGGGCTCACTATACTTATTCTTTCTCCTGTTGTTTATGTTTGAAATTTTCTATAATGGAAAGTTAAAAAGAAAGTTGAAAAACAGAAAAATAAGTTACAATGCATAACGAGGATAAATACCCACATTTTTAAAAAGCAGTAAACAATTCAAATATTCTTATTGAAAATGACCAAAAGACATGCAACATGGTGAATTGCCTAATTCACCAAAACAAGAATATGCAAAGATAACTTCTAAACATGTGGAAAATATTAACAGTACTAATAATCAGAGAATTGCAAATAATACAGTAAGGATATTGTTTTTACCTGTTATGCTGGCAAATGTTTTGCTGTTATTTCCATTATAATTTCCAGTATTGTCATAAGCACAGGGAAACAACAGCCCCACATCATTCCAGGGATACCATTCATCTAGAACATATGGAGTGGCAATTCTGGGAAATAGTTTCTGCACTATGGAAAGAGGAATACAATTCTGGAAACTATTTTGGCATGATTGCTATAAAACCTTTAAAGTTTATACCCTTTTACTTAGCAGTTTTACTTCTAGGAAATTATCCTATGTTAAAAAATCAGATGTGCATAAAGGTTTCTACGTACAAAGAATATTATTGTAGCATTATTTATAATAGATGACAGTTGGAAAGAACCTAAATGTCTAAAAACATTAGTGTCTATCCATAAGATAAAAGTCATGAGGAAAACTTTCTAAGAATGTGGGAAAATATTTACATTCTTAAATAAAATTTTTAAAAATATAAATATATATGTAATGTTAGATAGCAGTTCCTAGACAACCTCCATTTTTCTAGCTGTGGTTTTTATTTCATGTAGTTTTAAACTACATTATCTACCAGAAATTTCAATCATCATCCATCCTATGTGTGTTTCAGGTTTCAGTTTAGTCCTCTTTGACCATAGGCTCTACTATGCAGAAGTAAGGAAGAGGATATATGACATTCTCTCCACAGCTTGTGGCCAGAAAACCAGGCCAAGACAATGTGTTTATAAGTCCCAGGATCATTTATGGAAAAGCTAGATAGTTCCTTCAGAATTTTATTGAGACTTGTGGTACAAAACAAGGGGAAAGCAAGGGCAAATGACATTAAATTCCAAGCCAGTAAGGGCTGGTTTTTAAACTTTAAAAAGATACAGTTTGCATGATAAGACTTATAGGACTTTCTGCCTTAGGCAATCAGTGTGTCTGTATTTTTTCTGGATAATTGAAAAAGGTGATTAAAAAATAGGATAAATCATTTTCCTCAACTGTGTTTTCAGTGTTGACCAGTCAGATTTATTTTAGAAAGAGTGCATTCCAGAACTTTCATTTAACATATTTTATGATATATATATGGTGCAACTTTCTACTTTCTAGAAGTACGTACTGATCTTGATCTTACCAACTATAGCAAAACCAAGAATTTCTTTAAATAGTATGATCTCAGATTTTTCCTTGCTCCCATTCTCTCTCCTTTTTTAAAAAAATTCTTCCTTCTGCTATGAGGACGTTTTTCTTTTCTTTTTTATTTTGTTAACATTTTTCTTTTCTTCCAAAACTTTTCCCCAAATCATGTATTACCTTTAACATGATGATGATAAGTGTTGTTTGGGGTTATTTTCCCTCCAAAAGAAAAAAAATGAATGCACATACATTGACTCTTTATGCTGCCATGGACATTTAAAGAAATGTATTAAATTACAAGAAAATCAAAACCATAATTAATTTTTTTCACTCAGTGTATCTTAGAATGACCTTGATTTATTTCTTCATGTAGATTATACACAAACTCACCCAATTTCTTACTGTGAAATCATATTAAATGTACCTATTTTGGGCTTCCCTGGTGGCACAGTGGTTGAGAGTCCGCCTGCCAAGGCAGGGGACACGGGTTTGTGCCCCCGTCCGTGAAGATCCCACATGCCGCGGAGCGGCTGGGCCCGTGAGCCATGGCCGCTGAGCCTGCACGTCCGGAGCCTGTGCTCCGCAATGGGAGAGGCCACAGAAGTGAGAGGCCCACGTACCACAGAAAAAAAAAAATGTACCTATTTTATACAGTTGACCCTTGAACAACACAGGTTTGAACTGCATGGGTCCACTTCTACATGGATTGTTTCAATAAATACATACTAGAGTACTACACAATCCACAGTTGGTTGAATCCTTGGATGCCGAACCACAGATATGGAGGGCCGACTGTAAAGTTAATACACTGATTTTCGACTGCGAATGGGTCACTGCCCGTAACCCCCTGCATTGTTTAAGGGTCAAATGTAGGTATGTTAACTAAATGTGTTTTGTGTCTACACATTTCTGGTGTTTAGTTATAAATGTTTTGTACAATTTAACTGCTCAGAAATACAGAGTATTGAAAGTATTACAAGTACTAGGAAGTATTTATAAAGAGTAGTCTATTTTAAGCTCTCAGTATCAAAATATGATTTTTTTTTAAGTATAAAACCTTGACAGAAAGCGTGGAAATTCTTAAAAGTTATTTAACCATGAACTATAAAATGGAAGAATAATACTCAAGCAACATGAGTACTATGAGGATTAAATGAAATTATGTTAGCTAAAGTCCTTAGATAATAACTGTCATTATTAAAAATAATGTGTTTTGATTATCAGATAGCAGCATGTTTACCAGAAAAATGGTTCCAAAATTCTGCCATGAGAACATCTATTCCCCAGCTAGAAAACTTCATCCAGTTTTTACTGCAGTCTGCACGTAAATTATCTACAAGTGAAATCAGGTAATGCATATTTTATTTGTACCTCCATAAGCATAGTTTAGGGTTCCATTCTCATCAATTTTTAGAAAGATTTGTACTTTACTTTTAAAAATCTAAGACTGTCACTGAAGAGTTAGGAGATATTTTCCTGTATGATCTTTAGAATCACTCAATATTTTATATTCACACCTCATGCATATTAGTTCATATTTTTAAATGTAAATCTCTTCCAAAATAAGCACTTCCAGAAAACTGTATCACAGGGGAATTTAAAATTAAAACTATAAATCAAAAGCCTCTTATCAAGCATGTTTTAAATGTCTTCTTAATTTTCCTAGCCATTTCAAAATCTCAACATTTGTTATGTACAGGTCTGCAACCTGGCATTTACCCAGCAGTAGCTAGATCTCTTGTTTTGGATATCTCATTCACAGCACTAGATGTTTAAGGACTTAAATACAGTGGTATTCTGGTAAACCACCTCTACAAAAAGAAAAAAAGTTAAAACCTCAAATTGTAGCATTTGATGATATCTGTGGATAAATACTGCTGCCAGGATAGCCCATATAAGCTGCTGGTAGCAGCAAACCACAAGTCAGATTTCTGATAGATTTGATCTATGCTTTTCTCCTTTTTTATAGTCATTCACATTAAAATTTGCCAGAATACATCCACTAATAGTCTGTATTGGAACTTCATGATTATGTGGAGAAGGTAGCATCTAAATATTTTATGCTATCTTAGATATTGGCATAAGGTAAAGTTTTTGTTTCAGATTAACTACTCATGATTCACTGTGCCCTTACACATTGCATTTCTAAAAGGGAAAATGCTTTTTTGTTTTTTTTTCAGGGATGAAGTCAAAGAAATAATTCTTATTCTGGTGAAAATAAAAGCTTTGAATCAAGCAGAATCCTTCATAGAAGAATATCACCTAGACCATCTTAAATCAGTAATTAAAGAAGTTTGAGTGAACTTTATAGGAAACTACTAAAATGAGGTTTTAATATAGGCACACTTGGCTCTTTTGCTTGGAGAAAGAAGGAAAAAAAAAAAAAAATGTTGCCACTTCTTTATTCCCAGTAATGGAGGGGAGGATTTGCAACACCCAAAAAGCAGGACTCTGTCTTTCCATTCCTTCCACCTTCTACCTTCTGGTATCATGAAAGGCTGCCCCTTTTTTTTGCAGTGTTTGCAGGAATTAGACAGACAGTAACAGTAAGAGTTTAACATATTTCCATTTCCATTTGATTTTTCCATCGACTTTTCCAGCTTAAGAAAGGAGTTGAAGGAAGCTTGTTATAGCTGTTTTGGCCTTGGTTGGTCTTCTGTCCTGAACCATAAAAACCTCTTTTAGTTCTCTTCATTTTAACTATCTCTGTTTACAAACCTCTTTTAGTTCTCTTCATTTTAACTATCTCTGTTTACAGATGAGTTTAAATGAAAATCTTAATCGGGATGAATTACTTGTTAAGTATTCTGATTAAGGCATTTTAGGGCTTTTGATAACTAATGCTTGTCAAATTGTTCTTCAGAAATGTGTACCAATGTATTGTACCAACAGAACTCTAAGAAAGGTCAATGAATCTCTACCAGCAATAGGTATTATCATTTTTTTTTAACTCATTTGCACTTAATAGGTGAAAAAAATCTTATTTTAATGATTTGTTTTGGCTATTAGAGAGTGACTACTTGTTTTTTGGCCATTTGTAATTCTTTTTGAAATATCTATTCATCTTTTTCTTATGGATTTGTAAGAGCTTTATATTTTAAAGATACTGATGTCCTGGGAATTCCCTGGCATCCAGTAGTTAGGACTCTGCACTTTCACTGCCGAGATCACAGGTTCGATCCCTGGTCGGGGAACTAAGATCCCGCAAGCCACGCAGCACGGCCAAAAATAAAAACAAAAACAAAACAAAGACACCCATGTTTTGAATGTGCTATGTTATAGTTTCCCTCATTTGCCATTTTCTTTAAATTTGTGTATGTTTTTGGTGTACTAAGTTATCGCGTGTTACGTAGTTACTATTTTTTGTTGCGGTTTTTTTGTCATTGGTGGTAGGCCTAGACAGGAAACAAATTTTATTTTTGACATCTTTATTGGGGTATAATTGCTTTACAATGGTGTGTTAGTTTCTGCTTTATAACAAAGTGAATCAGTTATACGTATACATATGTTCCCATATCTCTTCCCTCTTGCATCTCTCTCCCTCCCACCCTCCCTATCCCACCCCTCTAGGTGGTCACAAAGCACCGAGCTGATCTCCCTGTGCTATGCGGCTGCTTCCCACTAGCTGTCTACCTTACGTTTGGTAGTGTATATATGTCCATGCCTCTCTCTCGCTTTAGGAAACAAATATTTTAAATATTCAGCACAGGGACTTCCCTGGTGGCGCAGTGGTTAAGAATCCACCTGCCAATGCCGGGGACACGGGTTCAATCCCTGGTCTGGGAAGATCCCACACGCCACAGAGCAACTAAGCCTGTGTGCCGCAACTACTTAAGCCTGCACACCTAGAGCCTGTGCTCCGCAACAAGAGAAGCCACCACAATGAGAAGCCCCCACGCACCACAATGAAGAGTAGTCCCTGCTCACCGCAACTAGAGAAAGCCTGCGTGCAGCAACGAAGACCCAATGCAGCCAAAAATAAAAATAAAATTAATTTATTATAAATAAATATTCAGCACATGTGATTCATTTTCTAATAAAAAATTTGTGCGATTAAGAAAGTGAGGCAAGGTCATTGAATCAAAAAGAAATTGAGGGACTTCCCTGGTGGTCCAGTGGTTAAGAATCCACCTTCCAATGCGGGGGACTCGGGTTCGATCCTGGCTGGGAAACTAAGATCCCACATGCTGTGGGGCAACTAGGCCTGCATGCAGCAACTAGTGAGAGCCCCTAAACAAAGAGCCCTGCGCACTGCAATGAAGACCCAGCGCAGCCAAAAAAAAAAAAAAATCTTTGTGGGACTCTCAATAACTATAAAATAAAAACTTTGAAACATGCTATGTGTATGAGAATTAATTTTTAAAAACAGAACATTTTTCAAAGAGTTTACTAAAATAATTTTTGTCAAATCTATTTGTTTAAATAACTTGAGGGCCATCCTAAATGTATTATGCAAATTGTTGCCCAAAAGACAATCAGGAAAAAATTGATTATGTGTAGGATTTGAGCATGTGGCCTCTGACATTATCACCCCTAGTTTTGAAGCTGCATGTAATTTATTTTAGCAGATTGGTGTGTGATTTCTACTACAGTGAAGACTCATGATTCACTGGTATGAACAGTTTTTTAAAGTTTATTTTGGTTACACAAATTATGAAGAGTAGAATCTCATCTAGAAAATTCAAGCCATTGCTAAAAAGGATTTAGCATTCTTACACAGTTATGTTCCCAGAGGTAACTGCTGTTTTCATTTTGTTATCCTTTCAGACCTTTACTTAAAAAGTACGTATGTGTGTATACACACACAAAGACCTTTGTTTTTTATATAAATGGCACTTTATTGTATATGAAATTTGTAACTTTTTAATTGTTAAAGTGTACATTTGAAATTTCCCTATAATTTTTGCATTTGTAATTAAAGGTGTGTTAGATGATCCCTTACATTTTTAACTTGGGCAGAGAGATTTCTCTTGCTTTTTGTAGAGTGGAAAATATTAGAACTGCTTTTAAAACTAAATTGATTTAAATTCCCAATAGTTTTCAACTAAATTTCATTATGCTTGGAGTTTGAATCTCAGTATTTTTATCCATCATATACCATATCTGAGGATATTCAAAAACATTTGTGAAGCTTGCCTAATCCTCAGTGCAGAGTTCCCTTTTCCAACACCCCCCCCCAACTTTTTTCCTGTTACTGTGAAATGGATGGAATGAAGGAGAGAAAACAACTAGCAAAAACAAATCTTTGAGTTAGCAGTTTATCTCACATCTCAATTCTTTCCCTGGATTTTTTCAGCTTTTCACTTAAAGGATGTAAAATTTTTACAGAATCAGACAGATGACCTTTTTGTTTTTACTTCTTTCATATGGCTTTTAGGAACCTTTCAATGGCCATGAAAACATACCTCAGAACAATTGAGTTTTGGATTTGTTAGGCTTGTGATGAAATATTTATATAGATGACTTCTAAGAAATACCGTATGTGGTACAAAACCTGAAAAAGGTATTACAAGAAAAGAAAATAGACCAATATTCCTCATGAATATAGAAATAAAAATCCTTAAAATATTAGCAAATTGAACCCGGCAACGTATAAAAAGGAAAATACTAATACATCAAGACCAAATAGGGTTTATTCCAGGAAGGCAAGTTTGGGTCAACATTAAAAATTTAATCAGTATAATTCACCTATGAACAGAATAAAAGAGGAAAACCATACAATCATCTTAATGATTACAGAAAAAGCACTGGACAAAATTCAACACCCTCCCACAGTACAAAAACAGGAATATAAATTCTTTAATAAAGAGCATCCACACTTAACATCATACTTAATGGTAAAATATTAAAGCAAGGATGTCTGCTCTCACCATTTCTGTTCATCCTTGTTCTGTAGTTCCTAACCATGCACAGTCAAGAAAAAGGCATAAAGATTAAAACAAAAGAGTCGACATTCACAAATGACAAGATTGTTTATGTAGAAAGCCTTATGCACTCTACAAAAAAAAAAAAAATTCAATCAGAACAAATAAGTGAATTTACCAAGATCTTACAAATATCAAAGTCCAGGGGCATGCTAGTGATTTAACTGGAAACAAATTTTTAAAACAACACTTCAGTAGCAGTGAAAAACATCAAATTCTAGGAACAAATCTATAGAAAGACTTGGCACTGAGGAGTACAAAAATTGCTGAGGAAAAAAAAAAATGTTTAACGTAAATAAAGGCTTTCCTTGTGGCACAGTGGTTAAGAATCCACCTGCCAATGCAGGGGACACGGATTCAAACCCTGGTCTGGAAAGATCCCACATGCCGTGGAACAATTAAGCCCGTGCACCACAACTACTAAGCCTGAGCTCTAGAGCCCACAAGCCATGACTACTGAGCCCATGTGCCACAACTACTGAAGCCCGCATACCTAGAGCCCGTGCTCTGCAGCAAGAAGCCACCGCAGTGAGAAGCCTGCACACCGCAATGAAGAGTAGCCCCCACTCACCGCAACTAGAGAAAGCCCACACACAGCAATGAAGACCCAACGCAGCCAAAAATAATTAAACCTAAATAAAAAGACGTATACTCATGAATTGGAAAACTCAGTTATTGTTTAAGGTATCTTCTCCCCATATTGATTAATAGTTATGCAGTCCCTGCCAAAATTCTATCAGGCTTTAAAAAAAAAAAAAAAAAAGAACAAAGACTGGTTGATTAAAATATATTAAAGTTTATGGGACTTGCCTCGTGGCTCAGTGGTTAAGAATCTGCCTGCCAATGCAGGGGACATGGGATCGATCCCTGGTCCGGGAAGATCCCACATGCCACAGAGCAACTAAGCCCGTGCACCACAACTACTGAGCCTACCCTCTAGAGCCAGCGAGCTGCAACTACTGAAGCCCACACACTCTAGGGCATGCATGCTGCAACTACTGAGCCCACATGCTGGGACTTCCCTGGTGGCACAGTGGTTAAGAATCCGCCTGACAATGCAGGGGACACGGGTTCGAGCCCTGGTCCAGGAAGATCCCACATGCCATGGAGCAACTAAGCCCATGCACCACAACTACTGAGCCTTCACTCTAGAGCCTGCGAGCCACAACTACTGAGCCCACGTGCCTATAGCCCATGCTCTGCAACAACAGAAGCGACCACAATGAGAAGCCCACGCATCGCAACAAAGAGTAGTCCCCGCTTGCCGCAACTAGAGGAAGCCTGTGTATAGCAACCAAAAAATTAAAAAAAAATAAAGTTTATGTAGATGTACAGTGACCTTAAAATAGCCAAACCGATCTTGAAATGGAAGAACAAGTTGGAAGACTTGCTCGTTCTAGTTTCACGACTTACTATAAAGCTACAGTAATCAAGACTATGATGTTAGGATAAGAATAAATTAATACATCAAT